TCTCGCCCGAACTCGCTTAACTTCGGAGTTCCGATGAAACCCGAAACCAGTGAGCTCCCAAAAAGCCTTGTGCTAGGTAGAATGAGAATATACATATAAAGCTTAGAAGATCAACTTACTTGGACGATGTGGGATGTTACATCTAATATGAAAGTGAGGCATGTAGCCCCATAAGTATATGAAAATAAAATTCATATTCAAGTAATTGGAAGCATGTCACTCATTATTATAGTCTGATGTTAAATTTTGAATTGCACTATTCATCTAGGGTATGGATTAGATCTTTAATTTTGAATTAATAACCGTTTGCCACTAGATCTTTTGTTTTGGGCTCCTCTTCTCAGAAAACAATGGGCTTGGGCTGCTGTGTTTGGGCCTGGAGTGAGGTTAGGGAAAATTACCCTTTTTCCTGGTTCAATACAAATCTGACGGACGGAAAAATCTTGGGGTATTTTAGTCTTTATGCGCCTAGGGTTGATGTCGGTGTCAATCTGACGGGTTGAAGGCATGGTTTGCAGGGTCATGGAAAGGGGTGGGTGTAGGTGTATGCTTTTGATTATTCTTTGTTTTCTTTACTTTCAGGGTTTATGTAGTAAAATTTCGTTTGTGTACACTGCTCCATTTGGTTAGGCTATTTCCAATCCATAAAAGGAGCCAAGCAATGTTAAGGATCCCAATCATACATGAAAGGGGAGCCAATTTTTACGACGAAGTAAATGTTTTTACAACTTATTTTAAATATTTAATTTCATAAATTAATTTTCTTTAATTTTTGTAATTATATTTTATAGGTACGTCAAGTGGAGGAGGACAACTCCAAACCCTTTAGTCATCGCGGTTGTTAAGAAATTTGTAAAGAGTGGGTGTTATTTGAAGATCCACCTCAACAAAGTGTTGGGCCTACGCCAGTGTTCGAAAATGCATCCTCAATTGCAGATGGATCTCCTACCATTCAAGAAACAAGGGTAGAAAATCCGTCTCCAGGTGAAGGTTCCATACCTAGGGTTATGGGACGAAACAAGCTCCGAAAATTGAAGGAAAAGGGAAAGGCAAATGATGATTTCGCCTTTCAACAGGAAATGGCGGCCTCCTTGCGATTAATGGCTGAGCCAATACTAATAGAAAACTTAATGGAATTTAACAACAGAGACCAGATTGATGTGTGTGAGTCAATTTAAGGATCACATGACCAAAATAATGAGTTATGTCAATTTCATAAACTATTTGTGATAAAAACTCTAAAAAATATAATTCAAATCTAGAGTTTAAACCAAATAAAACAGAAAAATGTCCAATGTTTGAGAATTCATCACGAACATATCAGCGTGCCAATGTTTGAGAATTCCCACATGTTCCAGTTCTCATCATCAGACCATTCAAACTTTTCAATTCGAACGCTACTTTATTCCCACAATTTCTTATTGGGCTAGAGGAACAAGCTGGCTATCACCAAAAGCCAGTGATCCACTATTTATTGAAAACACAAAATTAAAGACAAGGAGAGAAGAGGATTATTGTCTACCAAGTGCCAAACTCAGTAGGTGACCCTTGGATTCAGAGAAGCATATGCCAGCAGCTCCATGTTGCTTTCAAATAATGCCATCTTCTCTTCGCTGAGAGTCAACCATGCTTCAATCCCTTTGCAATCTCTTTTGTCCACCAAATGAAACATATTCTTTACTACAAGACTAGGACCGCTCACCCATGACGGCTTTCCCCATCCGAAATCTGTTTCATAGAAAGGAAACCTACACCAACTGGAGCAGTAATAAGTTTCAATCTCCTGATCTTTCAGTGGGATTGTCAGGTATTCGGTCAACACTTGCATTGCCTCATTAGGATCAAATACTTTTGTAGCAGCTTCTTTCATTTCTTCAATCCCGGCCCGGATTTTAACAACCAAGTCTTTTAAATCCAACACATTGGAAGTACTCTCTTCAGCCTTTGTTATAGCCGAAAGAGAAAAATTCCCAGCCATGTTATCTGGAAAGGGCGGCGTAACCATTTTGCGCAAGTTCACTGCTAGACGAAACGTGGATGGCCTTATTGGACTAGAACACAACGTGTTTGGTGACGACTTTGACGATGCTTCAATTGCACATTTCCAAATGAGTGCTGAAACGGCTTCTACCCTTGTTGGTTTTGGAACAAGTGAACTGGATGTTTCAGATTGGAGAACGGAAATCTTTGAGTTATCAAACACATACCTCCTTGTTACGGGCTTTTCCTTCTCGGATGGTGACTCCCAGAGGGGGAAATCTAGGGGTGGAAAAGAAGACGCAACACCGCCAAATTGGGGAAGGATTACCTTGTTGGATTGAAGGGCTGTTGCTGCCCAACAATGGATGAATGTGCATACAGTTGAGACATCAGCAATCTTATGTGAAAAGCCTAACCCAACTGCCATTCCACCACACTCAAACAAGTTGACTTGTACATAAAGCAATGCGCGCGGGCCTGCTTCTGCTTCTGTGGACTCAGCCCCAGTTGGAAGCAATCGTGTTAACATCTCTGGATCTGGGCGTTCGAAAATGTCTGATAAAGAGCACTTGACATGGGCTTTCACGACTTGGGCTCCGTCATCATTACATTCGACTGCGACATTACTTTTTTTTCTTCCTGCGAAAGGGTAGTAGTGAGTGAGAGTTTTAGCTAATGATTCTATTAGATGCTGATATTTGTCATTAATGGCCTTGGCAGTATGAGTTGTAGTAGTACTAGCAACATTGGGATAGAAGAGAAGGAATTTGATGTAAATTCCAGGCATAAATAAATCCAAAAGATAGAGCTTAAAATTTCTGAGGTCTTGAGGGGTTGGGGAGGATGGTTTAACTGTTTGTGTATCGACGATTTCAACCTCGATGGATTCGGTGGCCATTTTCTTCGGCTCAAGTTGATACCTTCTGGAATGGGATGGTAAAACTAAATTTGTAAATGGGATCAGATTTATAGACATTGTGGGAGCCCTACGAGAACCTAACACCTGACGCGCCACGCGAGTCCAACAGGTCTCATTAACTTCCCTCTCTTTCTCTCTCGTTTTTCACTCATATCATCCTCTCGCCCTTTTTTTTTTTTTTCTCTCACATTTTTTTTCTCTCTTTTTCTGGAAAAATCACTCCATTTCTCTCTCCCAACTTGACTACAAATTACTCACAAAATCATTTTGTTTCAACGCCAGTGAAGATACCAACTGGGCAACCACATAAAAAGTTTTTTTCTCTCCGTTGTGAGAGCCCTCCGTGGTGAGTGTTCCTTCTCTCCGTGTGGGAGTGTGTTTGGTTTCCCGTTTTCTGTATTTCTCTTTTCTTTGGTTTTCTAGGGTGGTTTGACTGGTGGTTAATCTTGGTAGGGTTGGGAGAGTTATTTCGGTTGGGGGTTGGTTTCTCCGAATTGATTAGGTGTTTTGGGGTGTGGGTGTTGGGATTGGTGCTGTTCTTCCACCAAGCCTTTATGGAAGGGGTTGGGGGCATTTATTATAGAAAGTCACCTAACACAGTGAATGGAATTAAAGGAAGGCTACCTACTGCTAAATCTGAACTATGGAGCAGGAGTAAAAACCCTCTGGGAAGGTACGGAGGTTCAAATATTACTATCATCTCTGTGGTAATTCTACTTACTGTTCAGGTAGAAGAAAGGCAAACAAACAACACGCTAGAGGTGAGTGACCAAAAATGGAGGCCAAAGGTTAGAACTGAGTATACAAAAGCAACCTGTATCTACTCTGATCTCAAGGAACAAGGAGTTAGAAATAGCATCTGGAGTGCATGTTATATTTCATAATTTTATGTTAATAGGATGTTTATGTGTTTTTAGAATTTAAGACAACAAATTATTTGAATAAGAAAAATTCATTTTGACTGAATTATGATAACATAAGATAGGATGTTTGTGGTGATTTTAGAATATTTGTGATATTATTTTCTGAACTAGTTGGTTAATTAAATACAATAAAAATCATAATTTTTAATTAAAAATTAGTAGAAGAATATTTGATCAAAAGTTTAAAAGTTATAGATGTTTGATTAAAAAAATTCAAATTTGAGGCATCTATATCAAAATGCCCTTAAAAAATTACCACAAATAAAAAATCATCCTCAATGAGTCAATTGCTTTGCTAATTGCCTATTTCTTCTCTCTTCCAATCCCTTTCAATTCTGCTCTCTAACAGATGCTGGAGGAGACTCACCATTCAAAGTCTCCACTGCCATTGGATTTTCCACCAAAGACTAATTGGTGTGCCAAGACTTCCGCGGCTAATAATCCCCATCATGCATTCATTATCATCTGTTCCTACACGACTTCATTAGAATTCAGAAATTTTCATAGAAAAATCTCTGTATTTCTCATTAGTAAAAAAACAAATAAGAAAGCGACTAGAGTGGCAATGACAATTTTGGACTTTTAATAACAATTTCGTTGTTTAGAAAATTTGTAAATAACGACATGATAGTCACATCCAAGTAGAGACTGTCACATACAATAACAACACGATAGTCACATCCAAGTAGAAGGGATTTCATTGAGTGGTTCGATATGAATTATACTTCGCAATTCTGTTGAGTGGTCCAGAATCGTATCCACTCGGATTCCGTTGAGAGGTCCGGAATCATTTCTACTCTGCAGTTCCGTTAAGTGGTCCAGAATCATATCCTAATTTGGATTCCGTTGAGTGGTCCGGAATGACACGCCCCAATCCTGATATCCCTAAATACCAGGGTAGGCATGTGCTGGCCGACACATGAAGGTGACGAAGCCATTAAAAACATGTATAGTGATAAAATATTTAATTAGAAAGATAAAAACCGATACGGAATCGTGTTCAGAGCATATAACTACTAAGAATAATATGGAAGGATTACTAAGAAAAGATATGAACAAGGAAATGATACCTATACTGAGAAGACTCAAGAATATCTATGTTGTAGAGTCCTGATGTCGGGATCATATGCCTCAAATCTATGTTGTAAACATCCTCCTTTAAGTCCCGCAGCAACGCGCAGACATATTTTCTAGTTTATTCAAAAAATCAATTCAATTAGGGCTGCGTTTTGAAATTTGAATTACTTATGGGTTTCTTTTGTGGAAGTTGCTTTCTCTTGAATATTATCTTGAATTGATTGAAATTCTCTCTGTTTTTTCTAGAAATTGGATCATCGGCAGAGCACTAGGATACTTCAAGAGAGAAGCAAAATGTTGGCTGCTAAGGTCCGAAAAAATCCCTAAGGGTTTTCCATTCCCGGCTAACTTTCTTTGATTTCTTTCTCTGGTTTTATCTTTTGGATGAAATCAGTTCTGTCATCTGCGAAACCCTGCTTGGTTTTCTTAATTTTTCAGCCAATATTCGGCATAGGACAGAATCCGGTGGGAAAAGAAAACTCGACGTGCTCCCGTGGTGTGGAACCGCAATTCTTGGTTCTTCTGCTGGTTTTATGTTCTTGTGGAGGTGATTTATTAACTTCTGACATTGTTTTTCGATATTTTAAACAGTTGGTGTCTCATGTTTTAAGATTTATAAGATTTATACCGAAAGTGACACTGCCAAAGCTGATGCCGAGATCAGGTAATTGTAGTTTTAAATTTGTGCAATTGCTTTTCGATTATTGAATGTTGTGGTTTTAATCAATGTCTAAGTTGTTGTAGAACTGAGATCAACTAACCCTTCGTTCCAGGATTTAAATCTTCCGATTTGTATTTGTATGTGAACGGTGCTAACAATTCAAATAGAATGGGAGTAGAGGCCAAAATGTATTAGATATTATCCATATCTCAAACAAAATTTCATCACAACAAAAGAGAATACAACACGCACACAATTACTCATATGAGCTAACAAAAGGGTTAGAAGTCAAGCAACCAAGTACCAACCTGTAATTGAAAATTAATATAAAGAAATGAGTTAACCAAACATCCGAAATGATCCAAATGTAGATTCCCAAAAAACACAAGAAAGAAAAATATTGAAGTATATTACAAAACTCTACTAATCTACACTAGTGAAGGGAGAAGGGTTTGAATTTGAGACGTAGTTGGTTGACTAAGAATGTCAGGGCAATCCATCACTCATTATTGACCCTTTGTTTACTTTTTCTTTCTCTTACATGAAAAAAGTTGAAATTGCACTCCAAAACTAATTGAAAATAGACCAAACTTTTCTCATAATACAAGATTTAACTTTCCAACAGCACCACACAACAATTTTCCCTTTCTAAATCACGACCTCAAAAAAACTTACCTCACATGCATTCTATCATGTCCTTTTTTAGAAAGAAAAAATTACTATTATTAAAGAGTGAGGGGAGAGTTCCAAACTATTACATTAATTGAGGAAAAGGGAGAGTTTCGAACCAAGACACATAAGTAGAAACTCAACATCCAATCCAATAGGAATTAGTAATTTACATTTGAGTTTAGGTATCGAATAGCGCGTTGAATTAAGTTAGGACAAGTCAGACTCAACCTACTAAAATTGAACCATATGCAACTAGTATTGTAGGATAAACGAGAAAATATGCCCGCGCGTTGCTGCGGGACTTGAATGTATTAGGCGCAATAGGCATGAATAGTTTCTACACAAATCAACTAAAAAGACATAGCACCTAAGAATCAATGAACAATTGGGACATCTTACTCATATGTGAGTCTCAATCCCTATTGAACAAAAGTACTATTTCTTCTTCAAATTGAATCGACATCATTGATCAAGCAATTAAACATTCCTACTGGCAAATAATTGACCCAAGAGTTGAGCAGATATATAGTGATTGGAAAAATACAAAGTGAGCACCAATGATACCACACCAGTACAAAGAGCATCACTCATCAACTAATCTAGCTTGAAATGATTGGGAAAGAACCTTGACTAAGATCTTCAATCACTGAGACAGCCCAAATGAATAGAGAAAAACACAATTAATAAACTCGGGGACAAAGAACCTGAGAAGCAGAAACAAACTTCTATGCACAAAAAATTTGTGCAAGTAAACAAACATCCAGTTGTACTGAGACTTGAATGATCCATGTTTAATAATATAACTTAAACCCAACCATGAATTTACAAAAAAATTAGGTAGAATTATTAACATAACTCAGAAAAGAAAAGACTCAACTTTGCAATTAAATTTCTTACATAACTTAAACCTGACAAATTTAACTAATTAGATTCATCCACAAAATAGATTTTAACATAACCTCAAAGAGTTTCTTCTAACCAAGTAAACCATTACTCAACAAAAAACATGTAGACAAAGCTCTTATCAAAATCATAATATTGTAATGAACAGGAACTTCAAAATAATCTCAGCTACACACTTTTCCAAAACGAAGGAAAAATCTACTTTGTAACTTAACTTAATATACGAAACCACCAATTTAGTCACCTAAAATTCATAACCAACAGAGAAAACAACTCCAAATCCTCAGGTTTACACATGTATGAGCCAAAGGTCAAGTTTGTACAAAACACTCATCCCACAATATGAAAAAGCAGATCGAAAAACTTCATTTTTGAATAGAAATAAGCCAAAGGTTCAATTTTTACAGACACGGATCATTTTATACACAATAAGCATACATAAAAACATAAAACTTGACAAATTTTCATTAACTTCTCAACCAATACAAAGAACTTAGTGGGTCCTGATGAATGAAAAATAATTCAGAATTGTTTTTACATTTTTATTATTTTCTAAGTTTTTCACGGAGCCAAATTAAACCAACATGCTTAAAAGAAAAAATTGATACCTGTAAGGTTGGAGACTGCTTTCAAGGCCTTTTTATTTTCTTTGTCGTTATGTAAATCCAATTTCACTACCACCTTCTGCAGAAAGAAAACAATTTTCAATTAACAAATTGTTTTGGGAGAGAAATGGAAATTCATTAATACAAATACCAATACCGATTTCTGGGATTTTAGGGTTTTCTGTTACCCTTGCAACTGAAAGCCTAAAAATCCTAGAAAAATGCCAAGAAGCTTAAGCATTATATTTTCAACAACCAAAACCCAACATCAATTTAATCATAAACGAAAGAAGAAATTAAAATCTAAACAGAGTCACAAATTAACGAATTGAAAACCCACAATAAAAAACATAAAATAAAAATAGGCAACTGACCTTAAAACAAAGAATAAATACACATTATAGAGAAGAATACCCAAAATGAGAGAAAATGAAACACATATATAGAGAGACAACCATCCCCAAAAACCTGACCTAACTGTACTAAGATATATGGCCAATTAATTGTTCAACTGGTAATGGATTGCTGGATATTCTTAGCTGCCCTTGTAGTTCTTCTTTGTCATATTCGAACACAACTCAGGAAAAATAAATATAAACACAAAGAGAGAAGAAGATATAAGACAATTACCTATTTAGTGAGTTCTTGGACCTATTTAAAGAGTCACTGGAATGAAATGAAGCCAACTCTGCAACAGAGAAACAAACTAAAAGTCAAAATCCAGAAATTCAAGTTTAACTCAATCAAATATAATAACCAATTAAGTGAAACTTTGCTTGCTACATATGGATATGCATGCTATAAGAAACCATTCATTTGTAGATCATATTGCATTATCAGTATTATACTCATTGTTTCATGTAATCAGCCTACTACATGGGGAAAACACAGAAAAGGGAAAGTAGAAAAGTAGAAGACAATACTTGAGTATGTGGCAGGAATAGTTAGTTTTTGAAAAAAATTGCTAAACTGTGTTACAAATTCAATTGTTAGAGTTGTTAAAATTCACTTTCATCTATACAATTCAAACTTCCACACATTTATTCGTACACTTTACCAATTGTCACACACTGCTAATTGCCAATATAGCAAGATAATGAATTCTGTTAACGAAAAAAAGGATATGCAACTTAACTTGCCATGCCAAAGAAGCTCCATAAGAGTTCAAAAATAATACTCACTTAAAACAATGAGTACATTCTAATCCAACAAATACTAAAACAGAATAGTGCCAGCATAATGACTTGGCACGTTAACCTTTAGGACATCTAAAATATCATATAATTTCCAATAGGTCACTATAGATTTTAGGGGTTCATAAACAATTAGCCTAATCTTTTTCTTTCATCTTGGCCTATAAATATTAAAATGCAACCAAATCTTCAACGTTAAAAATGAGAAGATGACTTTGATTTCTTTATAAGAAAAGTCAATAACCTTCCAATTGGCCGATGCTTATCCAATAATCCAAATATATTCGTATTGAATTATGATATGACACTGTAAGTTTCAAGCATATAAATTAAATTTGTAGTAAAAAGCGTAGGCAAATGAAGAATAATGTTCTCTTCCATATCTCAACCCTAAGCTTACAATGCATCCTTTGCTTCTTTTTTGTCTTCAGCATCTACAGTTCTTTAAGGCAGGTTTTGCAGCGTCTACATTCACCTATATAGGGTTTAAATTGTTTTCGTCAGAGAGTAAGGAGAAACGTAATGAAATGCTCCAAGGGGTAAACCCAAGCAAGCAATAGAGTATATTTTGAATGCAAAATAGCAATTAGGAGTCATAAGTACCTTAAAAAAATACTTCTGAAGCGCAAACAGTCCCATATAAGGGTAAGAAAATTAATAGAGCAGAGAACAAAGTACTCACTATAAAACATTTTAGTTCTTTAAGAAAAATAAAGTAGGGTTCAAAAAGGATAATGAAGCATACCAGTAGGTTCCCAATATCAGATAATGATTTCTTTCTTGGCCCAAGATTGTCATTTGATTCTGCTGGCTTCTTAACTAAAGCATTCTGAAGTAGCATTGCACCTTAGGAAGCCACTGAGCTATCCTTCTCCACTTCAGTTGCATCTGAGCAGTTCAAAATGCCATCAGCCGTCTCTGATTGTGACAACTCATTCAACTTAATTTGGTTATCATTTATAGCATAAATCAAACTACAACTTTATCCTGTGAAATCAAGGAAAACTACTTGTGTCCGATTTCATGTCAACACCTCAATTTATATCGCATCCAATTAAACTACTACAACAACATACTGACAAAGTGAACATGGAAATTCATATACCATTTGACAATACCAAATCAAGCAATTTCTAAAGACCAGAAATAGATCCTACAAAGCAGAAACTCTATATCATATGCATTAAAGCGATTAACAAATTCTCGGTGAATCATCATAAAATTAACCCAATTTCTCAATTCCAAAAACAGGAAAGATTAAGAAAGGGTTCTGAGTTCTCACCATAACCAATATAATCATATTGTTTCAGTTTGAACTCGGGTCAATTTCTGTCATCTGCATTAACAAAAACAATAACTTATGTTAGTGCATTCCACCATAAATCAATTCATAAAATCAACTGCATATCACAAAGTTACCCAAAAGACACAAAATACCTGAAAATTACTATATTAGCACTCCCTCCACCCCAAAATCAGAAAATTTGAAAATAGAACTTGATAACATTGTACGTAGAAAGCAAGGAATCAATAATTTAGGTGGTTTCCCAGGACAATAATGAGCTTGCAGAGATCATATTCATACATGGATGCACAAACACACAGAGACACTACAGAGACCATTTGATGCAAAAAAAAATGGAGATGCTCAGAGACTCAACACACACTATTCATAGATCCATGACTTAGAAATTCTCAGATCTGGTTGAAATTAATAAAATAAAATAAAAATTTAGGGATGTGAAAATATACCTCTTATAGTCTGGGTTCTGTTCCCCTGATTCCTTCGCTGGCTTGAGGCAAACATGAGGAGATCGGCGATTAAAGGATAAGAAAACTGGCGGCCGTGTTTTAGTTTTTTGATAGAGAGAGTTCAAGAGAAAAAAGAAGAAAGGGATACCCCTTCCCTTCTGAGATCGTCTATAACATCTGAATTACTTAACACCCATACACTATATTTACACACTAATCAATACTCATAACACATCAATGGTCCAACAATTATGGAGCTCGAAATTTCTATGAGGGGCAATCAAATCATAAATTAAAATGAAAACATGTAAGTAATTAAGAATTATTACTTGCTCAGTCAGCTCCTTCTTGTCACTTCAAGGATTATTCAATTCAACCTGATTCGATCAAACTGCATCACCTAACAAAATAAACAAAAAATAAATTAAAAAAGAAAATCAGGGGAGCTAAATAAATATACACTAACCTACTTTTTGGCTAGAAAACCCAAAAAGAGCAATTAAACAGCAGTGCATAATGACAGAATTTCTATGAAAAAATATGAATGAGTTTTCAATTAATAATTGAGCCGGAAATAAAGAAGGCCTTTCTCACCTTGATGCAGGGCGGATAACAAAAACATTATGTATGGATTAATGTATAATATCTGAGATCCTATCTATTTTTTATTGACTGATGCTTCAACACCAGCCACCTAATTCATATGACACATCCATACATACCTGAGAACGCTTATTCCCACCACCATAACGTTGTTTCTTTAGTATGTTTTTTCACTGAGAAGAAAAGGAAAGAGCATCATGAAAAATTTAGTTCCAATATACCTGAGAACAATTCACATGTTATTACCTTAAACAGGAGTTAAAATTACTCACCCATTTTTTTTTTCATCACACCAAGACAAAACTAAAGGAAGACTTCTAATCCTATAAATTAGCAAATACTCTACTATCCTAAATTCCTAATCCCACTTGAGTTCGCTGCCCCACACCTTTGTCCCCTGTCTCCCATTAACTAAAAACACTCCCAAATCACATCAGCCAGCCATACAACAAAGCCACTGGCCACATCAAATATTAGGCACGATTTAGGTAACCAAATTCAACGAATAGAGTTCAGATAACGAAATGCAAAGAACACGATACATAATTGTAAAATTCAAGAACATGATTCAGAGGATTTGAACTATATTGTGTTGAAAACTTACGGAAGAGCGACGATTCCAGGGCGGTAGCGGTCAGGCTTCTTGACTCCTCCAGTTGTGGGTGCTGATTTTATTGAAGCCTCAAAATTAAAACAATTAGCAACTTAGATCCAATAATCTGATTGTTTCTCGGAAAAAATAGCTTGCAATTATTGACCCAACACAGATTTTGCAGCATTAATTAAGAGAGAATTATAGTTTTATTTACTTGCACTAAATCTTTCTTGTTTTGTGGTAATTTGTATAGCAGACAGCCAAACAATATATATAATTATTCAAACAGATTAAGACTCGTAATCAAATCAAATCGTTTCTGGTGCAGCTGCTGAACAATGAAGAGCCGAAGCGACTCCTGTTTTTGAGTGACAGAAAACTCTGCAGTGACTCGAACAGAGAAATTGAACTAATAATAACAAAGAGTTGGGATCACGATACTCACCAAGACCAGAACAAAGAGAACATTCTGATCAGCTTTGATCTCGTTGATGAAGTCCGATAAACTTCTTGATAGTCTAATCGCCGCTGTTGCCGACGTCTGTGCTATCGCGTATTTTTATATAAGTAATAGAAAATGGTCGTCTTTTCCGATGGACCCTTTGCCTATGAATTATTCTCAAATGTCACATATCACCGTATATATTATTATCTTTCTTTTTCACAGCAACTACCAATTATGTCCCATTTAGTACTACAGTCTAGTGATATTCCTCTTCACTTGTTATCTTAGGTCTGATTCTTACCAAAGGTGAATCTGAACCACATCAATGCTAGCCTATTCCGTCACCCCTTAGAGTAGATACTATCATTTGTTCAAAAAAAGAAAAAAGTAATAGAAAGTCAAATATGAAAAAAAAAATCACTAGAATAAAGAGTTAATCCAAAACTCAATCTACCTAGTGTTTACACAACCACACATGAGCTAAATATTTATTACAACATCTATTTGATTTTGTGAGTAATTTTTTTTTTTTTTTGAAGAACTGGCATTCATTGAAACCAGGGCCGAAGCCACACAAACACAGAAGCTCACAGAGAGCAAGCAACAAAGAAAGCAAAAAGCAGCAAGCAGAGGAGGAGGGCAAACACAAACG